GCTTTCTGATATTCCTTGCTAATCAGACTCCTTTATCTTGAATAAAGTGTTACACTTAAATATCATTGAGTACATTAATGATATCTGCCTTGTTCTGTTCTGTTAACCCTGGGGGGTTATTATTGCTGCTCTCCCTGCTCATTCATGACAGGCTGCATGGATGGGCAGGGAGGTTTTTGCCCAGAACAGAACCATACCGCCAAACCAAACTTTATGCTAAGTATCTATCATTTTGACGATAGTGGTCCTGACAGAACCAGCATTCTTCAAAATATATGTGACCCTGGACCACAAAACCAGTCATAAGGGTCTTTATACATAATCTGAAGGCTGGATAAATAAGCTTTCCATTGATGTATGGTACGGACAATATTTGGTCGAGATACAACTATTTGAAAATCTGGAATCTGAGGGTGCAAAAAAATCAAAATATTGAAAAAAATCACCTTTAAAGTTGTCCAAATGAAGTTCTTAGCCATGCATATTACTAATCAAAAATTAAGGTTTGATATATTTACAGTAGGAAATTTACAAAATATCTTCATGGAACATTTAGACTTTTACTTTATATCCTAATGATTTTTGGCATAAAAGAAAAATCGATCATTTTGACCCATACAATGTTTTTTTGGCTATTGCTACAAATATACCCCAGCGACTTAAGACTGCTTTTGTGCTCCAGGGTCACATTCTTTTATGTTCAGCATAAGAAAGAAACTCATACAGGTTTGAAACAGCACGAGGGTGAGTAAATGATGACAAAAATATCATTAAAAAAAATATATATAATTTTTGGGTGAACTATTCCTTTAAGGAATACAATATCTCAAACAAAAAAGTTCTAAAGTTTTAAAAGCTCTTAAGTTTACAAGAAAACGTGTCAGTTGCTACATTATTACAATATTAAAGGTCCAAAGTCCAAACTTAACTAAAATTCAACCGCTATTTATATTTAGACATGACATAATCAACAATCAAATAAAATAGAGTTGCTGGTTCATCAAAATGAAGATCAATTAAAATAGTGTAATCAAAATTGTCAAGCCAGTCCTATTAATATTGCATTATATTGGGTATTTATAACTCATATCGGTTGACCACCACCTACCTACGACTACTTTTTAGCGACAACTACAACATACTGTAACAGCAAAAGACAGAGCAACATACTAAACCCAACCCAATCTCACATGAAAACGCAACTATTTTATGAGGTGGAGATTTCATATGAATTTGTACGATGTATGATTTTTATTAGGGGTGTAACGGTACACGTATATAACATTTTCAGTACAGGTCTTTCGGTTCGGCATGAATGTGTACTGAACAACTCTTTAAATTCAAGAAATTCAAACAATAAATTCCACTATGATGCTCTTTAATGTGGCGTGACAGATCGCCATATAAACGCCTCAGTGCAAACGGCAGCGCTGATGAGCGTAATCAGCCCTTCCTCTTAAAACTACTAGTTTTAATGTGAAATAAACATGAATGAACATCTCATGCCTCAAGTAATCTCTCAATCAGTGTTTCAACCGTGGAAAAACGTCAATAAAACAGCTTGTAAACAATAACGTAGCATAACATTTACCTCAGACATAAAGAGCATTTCACAAAATATTAGACTATATACTTTATATTTTACTTTACCTGTTAGTGATGTCTTAATTATTTAATGTAAGTTTAATAAATACATCTGTTATGAAGCCACTATGTAAATTATTATAGGCCTTTTTCAACAACAAATAGAAATTGTATTATTTTGGTACGAGGTACGTACTAATAGATTGCGGCTGTTGCAATTTATTTCAAAAAAAGAAATGTGAAAATGAATGAAAAGTGTCTATTCGCAGAATTATATTTTCATCCGCGCACACTGCAACAAGATAGCTTTTTACGCATTGCTTTCTTTGCAGCGTTGGGACTTGTAACCAATCACACGCATTTCTGTTGAGCTTAGGAATGCAATGGCCAATCAGAGACGCTTAGATTAGTCAGCGCTAAATTATTGTTACGACATAGATACAATGTAAATAAAACATTCATTTGGTAACTTCAGTGATTATAACAAACGTTTTTGGCAGAATATATGAGCCGTTTCCCCAAAAATGCAGACACAAAACACAAAAAAGTTTTGTATGTATTCTATTAATCAACATGAATAATTATTACAATATCAAGAGCAACAATCGACAATAGCATTATTAGCAGCCCTATCAGCTCCTGTTTTTAAACGTATAATTTAGATACAATGTTAAACAGTCAATTGTTATTGACAACAGTTTAAAGTATTTTGATTGATTGAAGTAATTGGTTAAATTTAAGTATTTGACATTCGAGATAACACGGATACAATTATTAACGTGGTGATAAAAATTGGCCTCACAAATGTAAAAAATGCCCCAGGAAATCAATTCCAGGGGGCAAAAAGTTTATTTCTGACCCTGCCAGAAGTATAGTAATTAGGGCTGGGTATTGATTCAGATGTCCCGATTCGATTCGATTTGGATTCGCAAGCTCTCGATTCGATTCTCGATTTTTTGATTACATTCAGTGAATATAGTTTTAATGCAAATGCTATTGATATTTCTAAAAAATTAACAGTAAACATCAGTTTACAAATGGTGAATTAATAAAAAGAAGTTAAGAACCACATGCCTGTATTTTAAACCTATACTTTTTTTTTTGTATGGGTCCTTTTTAAAAAAATAATAGGGCCCTATAAAATGTTCTTAATTTTTCTGGTAAT